AAAACTCAAGCAGTTAAAAGTTTAATTCACGTGGATAACATTTCCTATGATTTTACACATATATCCAGACAGTTCTTTTTTTTTGCCCTCACCCACTTTCCTAAACCACTCATGAAAATAAACCAATGATATGCAGGTTTTTTCTCTCCATTCCCATTATCTGGTTATTTTACTAATCCTTTCCAGAATTCTCAGAATCATTCAACAGTACTATTTCTTTATGAAGGTTAAAATTCAGATTTGAGAAATTAAAGACATTTTGTTTACTAATAGAATCTATGACAGGAATTTTTTTAAAGATTATACATGACCTCTACACACAAACAACTGATGTTAAGTGTAAGTGTTCAACTATTTAGAAAATGAGTCATCCAACAGCCAAAAATTCCCTAAAGATGTGGCAGAAATGTATGAAAGGCTCTAAAATATTTGAAGAAACTCCATGGAAGACATATATCAAAATAAACAAACATACTAGAAAGGTGATGATTCTTCAAGTAAATATGACAACCCCATTCAAATGCAACACATGTTTTTCTTGCAAAAAGGAAATCTAAAAAGATGAAATAGATGCTTTATATAAAATATTTACATATACAATGTACAAAACCCACTACGGTTATAACCTTTATGGCTTTGAAGAACTAGATATTTACATATCTTTCTTTCTGCATGTGCTTGTGCGTATGTGTGTTTTGTATATATTTTTAACAGTTGACAGCTGTTTTAGAGCATACAGAGATGCCAAGCTGAATGAGGGTCTTGATTACTTCAAGATTAGCTATCTAAAGTTTCTATTCATTTTAAGTGTTGTTAGTTGGAAGAGTCATTAGTCACTTCCTTGTCTCATAGAACATCAGCATACATTTACATTGTTAATGAACATTTGGGGTAAATGAATTAATGGCACTTTTAAACATCAATTCAGTCCTAATAACTTAGTATGTCATAGAAATGTTAGGCTAGGATATAAACGAAAAGGCTTTTCAGTAAAGGTAACTACTCATTCCTGCAAACAATAGAGGATAAAATTAATTTAAAATGTCTTTTTAACCAGGTTAAAAAAAAAAAAGACCCTCAATATTTAATGAAGTAGACCAGAGAAAAATATGCACTTAAAAAATAAACAACAAACTATGTTCTCGAATAAGCATATAAACCAGAAATAGTATGAAAACTTTTTGTGAAACTATTTTATATGCTTGTAACATAAATACATATTCACTTTTAAAACACTCACAGAAGTACTTGCAAAACAATTTGACTTATTTAATTGAGTGCTTCTTATAAGTATTACATTTAGGAGAAGATATCGCCAGGAATGGTATCATGCTTACCACCGTGATATTAAAATACTGAAATTGAAATGAACACTATTAATTTTCATGTTATCAAAATCTTAAACAGCAGTCTTGTTGAGTCCTTATCACAACATATAAAAAAGATCACAAAAATAAGTTGTAGGACAAAGTCTCTTATTTTCATTAAAAATAAGGATGGCATTTGTATGATGTAGAAGATATTAAAGACGTACAAAAAACATAAACACACTCCATAAAGAGCTTGTGTTCTAAAGAAACACTTTAAGTATTAGTTTTAAAATTCTCAAAACATGAGTTAATAGCAGACCTTGACATCAATAGACAGAAAAAAATAATTTCATTTGAATTCTAAAAAACACACATGAAGTTTGACTAATTTATGATGTTTTAAAATAGATCTTACAATCCTAATACATGCATTTCATGAGTGAAAAATTACAAGTAGTCATTGAGTCAATGAACTTTATCATATATTTGGTGGATTACTTAAAAATAAGGATAAGGCTTCAAGAATTCTCACAAACTCCTTGCTTCCTTCTAAAAACTGTATTACTACTACTATCATTACATAAACATTGAGAAAATAATACAGATTTGGATGCATACACATCTGATAAATTTTTGTAGCACAGAACCTGAATACAGTCTACTTTTTAACAGTATACCACTTAATAATTTCAATGTATAGATCTTTAAAAATATGACACAAATTTCAATTATTTTATTAAAAAAAAGATGATGATGAATCAGGTAAGTTTTTTATTATGGAATAATCTCAACCTGCTGGAGGGCAAAAAAATCCCTGCAAATCAACACCAAAAGTTTAAGATTCTTTAAAAGATGTTTGACAAAGGCCACTTAGCATTTTAACATTCTTATGCTGAAGTCATTGTTTAGTTTATGATTTTTTTTTAAAGAATGGCAGTGCATTAAACATTTGGCTAATACTTCTGTCAAAAACTGAAAGCTGACTTTTTGTGGTATTCATTTGTGTCAAGAGTGCTCTGTACATATCCAGAGAAATGTTCTTAAAGTTGCCTTTCTCAGTTTTATCAAGAGAATTACACATATAAGGCACAGAGAGAGCTAACTGGAGCCCCTCTGCTAGGTTTCCCAGTATCCGCAGAGAGCATCTACTCACCTCCAGACTTGTTAGAGGAACTGGACAAAGGGTCAATGCCCACTTCTTGTTCTTCTGGCTGCAGAGGATGTCTAGTTTCAGATAAGGAATGATACATGGTGGGAACTGGACGATGTCGCCAAAAGTACCTGGAATATGAAAAAATATAGAGAAAAATAACAATTTTTTTTATTTCTGCTATGACTGGGAATAAATACAAGACTGAAATGATCAAATGAGCATTACAGACTTTTACATGTTTTCCACAGGCTCTGGGGACTGTTACTACACATTGGTAGGCTTATGCAAAGAAGTGAAAATGTAGCGTAATATTTCCATTTCAGCAATTTCTCCAAAAATCTGGACCTCATTTATAGTCTTTATATCAATGTTGAATCATATTTATTTTCATCAAACTTTGCACAAAAAGCTGTACAATAAGTTAAAGAAATTATTCTCCCACTTACAGCATCCTTCTGTTTTACAGCCAAAATAATACACATTCACAATAGAAACTTCCACAAATATGAAAACATAGCAAATTAAAATTACTCATAATTGTAGTAGCTAGAAATACCACTCTTAACATTTCAGTGTATTACACATATCCTTCCTATCTTTGTTCTGGGCATTTAAAATGTGTATGTTTTTAATGTGATCCATCATGTTAAACTTACTGATTATGTAATCTACTTTCAACTGAGTGTCCTTCCAAGTTATGAAAAAAAGTGGCTATACTATCATTTCTAATAGATCCTTAGCATTCCATTATATAGCCAGCACAACTTATATAACCAATTCCTTATAAGTAAACAATTAGGATGCTTTCAGTTGTTCAACACTATATACAGCAAATGATTATCTTTTAGCAGTGTCACATCCATGATTATCTCCGTTAGCATAAATTCTTAGATGTGCAATTGCTGGACTAATACATACATTTAAAAAATAAGATTATGTGGTAAGTTTGGCAAATTGTACTCTAGAAAGGTCTGTACATAACAGAACAATTCATTTCCCCTGGATTCTCGTTAAATGGATAGCTCTTCTTTTTTGTTTTGAACCAATGTGATACTCAAATTTATACTGCATTTGCTTGACGATTAGTGATATTACTGAAGACTTCATATATTTCTCTAAAATGTTTTATTATATTTTGTGAATGGAGTTTATTGTTATGATTGTGTTCATGATTTGTAGGCATGCTTTAAATATCATGCATATTAAAACTTGTCATGAAACTACCCTTTAAACAAATCAATAATGGGGTGCAAGGCAAGAACTATGGTAAGAGCCTAGCTAAAAATAAGGCACAGATCTAGCTAAAAATAATGACAATTAGCCACTGTCCCCTTGTTTGCTTCTCTATAATTACAACTCTGGAGCCACATAGCTGGTGGTCATAAAGATTCTTAGCTTTCTCCATAGATAACATCACCTTTCTGAAACCAAGGGGTAGTTTCTGAGATATCTTCCAGATCTCTCATTCCATTGAAATGGCTGACCCACTCAGAGCAGTGGCCCATACCAAGGAACTGACTCAACTGGTCTTGTGACCCCCATCCAAGAACCTGATCAGCAAAGAAGACAATTTCTACAACCCAATGGTTCCTCCCCGAACCAAGCCAATGAGCAGACTCAATTGCCTATGCCAAACTGTCTTTAAAAATCCTGTCTCCCAAATTCTCTGGGAGGCAGATTTGAGAAATTTCTCCCATCTCCCCACTTAGTCCTATGCAGAATAAACTCTTTCACTGCTGTAAATGCTGCTGTCTCCGCATACTGGCTTCCTCTTGGGCAGCAGGCAAATGAACTTGGTTGGGTGGCAACATCATGGTTTATGCCTCTGGTATTACGCTTACAACAACATGATTACATAAATAATCATTTTGAAGGTTTTTTCCCCTTCATTCCTATTTCTATAAATTATTCCAAATTAAACAAGATTTTTTAAATTAAATGATTTTGAGGACAGACGCAGTGGCTCATGCTTGTAATCCTAGCACTCTGGGAGGCCAAGGTGGGAGGACTGCTTGAACTCAGGAGTTCGAGACCAGCCTAAGCAAGAGCGAGACCCCATCTCTACAAAAAAAAAAAAAAAAATAGAAAAGTTAGCTGAGGGCAGTCCCAGCTAGAGAGGAGAGGGAAGGAGAGGGGAGGGAAGGGCAAGGAGGAGAGGAGAGGAGAGGGAAGGGAAGGCAAGGGGAGTCGAGGGGGGAAAAAATATTTTGAATTTCCAAGATTAACTACTTGGAAATTTTCTATGTCCATAAGGTACACATTACCTTCCCAAATCAGGATTCTTCCAAAAAATAAACCAGGTTCACCAATTTTCATCCAAAATAATGTAAAGTACCATAATCATTTAAATTCAAGAGCAACGGGACATGAAAGAAAGAAAAAATGAGGAAAGACAAGTGGGAAAAGCAAGTCAAATCAAAATGAGTACTTAATTTTATAGGATATGGTCTCTACCTATGTAGGAAAGGTTCCAGAGATGCCCATGAATACACAAATCCTTGATTAGCTTTTCCCACGTTTTCCTAGCCCAAAATAACCCTCACCTTGTAAAATACTCATGTACCTTTTCTCATTTTTGTCAAAGCCTCCAACCTCTCCCCTCCTGCCATCACAGTCAGATGTTAATAAATCCTATCCCTCTGGGACTGTGGCTAAAACAACAGAAGCAGAGGGTTAGGGAAAACGGAAAACTTTTGTAGCTAATATGTAGTAAGAATTTCTAAAGCTATAAATCCTAAATCCATAAATCTAGACAGTTGTCAGTATTTCTTTCTTATGTGTACAAATCAATAAGCATATATTGAGCACTTGCTATACAGAAAGAAACTCTGGGAAACATAACCTTGTAAAGGATAGCAAAATGTATATGATCAGTTATAATATAAAAAGGAATCTGATAAATTCTGCACAAATAAATGAAGAGATTAAGAAATAAAGTCCTCTACTTTGAAGCAGTAAGGATCAACAAATTCAAATATCTAATTGGGGGTGGGGGGCAAAAAGCATTATTAATTATAATACAAGCAAAGAAGATACGCCAAATCCACTCTACAAGCAAAGAAAATACATCAAAAACCACTCTCGGTGCTTCACAGACACACATCATTTCATCCTCCCTACAACATAAAGATGTATCTTCATCATCCTTATTTTCATTTTACCAAAAAGAAACCTGAGGTATAGAGAGAGATCGAGTATTCCGTCTAGAGTCACACAATTAATAAGTACTGAAGCCATAATTTGAACTGGCTCCAGAGCTCACATTCTTTCTCCTACATTACATTTGGTTCCCAGTAAGTCAATGTGACAAAAAAGCCAGGTATAAAACAAGGGGTATAAAAGGATGGGGCCTATGAACAATTAGAACACTCCTCACTAGACTTCAGCTTTTCCAACATAAGATAGAAATCCAGAATTTTATGTGAAATCTCCTTATTTATACATGTTGCAAATAATTCAAATTTTAAAAAAATACTGTGCGGAACAGATTAAACACATATTAGAATTGTATTTGGCCAACAGGCAACTATTGTAATGTAAAATTTACATTCTCTATATATTTTGCTATACTCTTAACAATGTGAAAGTAAGCCAGGCACAGTGGCTTGTGCTTATAGTCCCAGCTGCTGAGGAGGCTGAGGTGCTAGGATCACTTGAGGCCAGGAGATCAAGACCAGCCTGGGTGATATAGCAAGACTCTGTCTCTTACAAATGTAAAACTAAAACAAAAAAATAAACATTTGAGAATGTCTATTCTAAGTTAATTGTTAAATTTCCTTAAATTTTCTTTAAAGTCCTAAACCATGTTTTCATCATTTCATTAGCGTCATTTCTTATTTTTACAGTATACAGCCACTGTCACAGGCTTCACATACCTAAAATGTATTAATACAAATAAATGGATTTTATGTATTTTAAACTTCATGAAAAATAGGCAAGTGACAAGCAAACTGACATCAAAGTTTATTTTTAAAAAGGAACATCAAAAAATCAGTTTTTATAGCTAAAATAAAATACAACACAATGATGTTCATATATTCGTTTAGGGACCTAAAAAATATATCAGGTCTTTTGGACTCTTAGAGAAAGTTAAGTTCAAGAAGTCATTCAGTGAATTTAGTTTTCATTATAATTCTTTAGAACTTAACAAGTCTATGGTAATACCAATAACCAGAATAAAAAATTAATCAAATACTCCAGTCTACAAGTATTCTATATAATCAGGCATCTACTATTGAATATATCCTAATTTATTATGCCTATAGATTGAAACTAAGTCACTAACATGCTTTTATGACTATACAACGCAAACCTGCTGACTAGTAATAATGAGTCATTTTCAAACAATCTGTTGAAGAAAAAGTGTAGATAATGCTCTTAGTTTTCTTTTAATTATGGATTTAAATAATAACCTAACTTGAATGTAACTTATTAGGAAGCTGCTGCTTTGGGGTTTTTGGGTTTTTTTGTTTGTTTGTTTCTTTTAAATATAAAGAGCTATTTTTGCTTTTTAGAATCTAAAAAAATACTTAAACGTATGTCGGTTTACTGTCATTGTGATTATCTCATGTAATCAAAATATAATGTTGCTTTTGAATATGAAATAATTTTCTTAAGAATTTCCCAATTTGTGTTTCATAAATACACTGAGAAAATACTTGGTTAATACACAAAGAAGAATATCAAAAGTCTTTAACAAACATTTCTATATTTATTTTAATCACTATTATGAACACATATAGCCATCTGATCTTTGACAAAGTAGACAGCAATATACACTGGGGAAAAGAATCCCTATATTTAATAAATGGTGCTGGGAAAATTGGATAGCCACATGTAGCAGATTGAAACAGGATCTGTATCTCTCACCACTCACAAAAATTAATTCAAGATGGATCATAGGCTTAAATCTAAGATGTGAAACCATAACAATTCTAGAAAAAAATGTTGGAAAAACTCTTCTAGATACAGGCCTAGGCAAAGAATTTATGAAGAAGATGCCCAAGGACAATCACAGCAACAACAAAAATAAATAAATGGGACTTGATTAAATTAAAAAGCTTCTGTACAGCCAACGAAATAATAAACAGAGCAAATACACAACCTACAGAATGGAAGAAAATATTTGCATGCTATACATCCAATAAAGGGCTAATAACCAGAATCTACAAAGAACTCAAGCAAATCAGCAAGAAAAATATCAAACAACCCCATTAAAAAGTGGGCAAAAGACATGAACAGAAACTACTAATGGCCTATAAACATATGAAAAAAATGCTCAATATCATTAATCACCAGAGAAATGAAAATCAAAACCACAATGAGATATCGTCTAACTCAAGTGAGAATGGCTTTTATCAACAACTCCCAAAACAATAAATGCTGGCGTGGATGTGGAGAGATAGGAACACTTATACACTGTTGGTGGGACTGCAAATTAGTGCAACCTCT